CTAGACATGTTCTACACCTGCAAGAGCCTCTGTCCCGAGTGGTACACAAACAGGGACCCGCAGGACAAGAAGATGCGGGAGATACTTGAATTGGGGTGAGCGATGTCCGTAGAGTTTTTTCCTCAGTTCCTTGGGGTGGGGGGGATTTCTGTGGCGAGACCGGAAGTAGGAGATTCTATCTATCTATATATCTATTTGTTCTTTAATTTAATGTCTTAGATTCGTGTTGTCACTTTCTAAGTATTTTTTTTCCACTTATTCCATTCTTTATTAATTTGTTTTTATCCATCCTAATTATTAATTTATTATTTGATTTTTTTCATAAATTCCTTTTGTCGCCTATTAAGTCATTCTTCCACTTATTCCAATGTTTATTACCTTATCTTTATTCATCTTATTTATTTAGTTATTCTCTGATCTCTTTCTTTTATTCCTCTCGTCCCCTATGAAGTAATCAATTCTCCCTCTTATTCCATCATTCATTCAATTATCTCTTTATCAATTTATCCATTCGTTTTTGTACCATCTCTCTACTTCCGGTTCGTGGCAGAATCTCTCTTTAAAAAATTCGTCAAGATGCTTTTCATTTCTAATCTGCTTCCGGCTTATGCTTCACCCACTACCTGTGCTTCAGCCCTTATTATAAATAACACCGCACACAGACACAAAAAAAGTCATATATATTGTAAATAATGATTCATTGAAGCCGCTTTGCCTGATATAGAAGGTATAGGCTAAGCGGAGATGATATAGAAATGTGGGCTTATATGTAATATCCATATTATTATTCTTTGTTAATATCTCTATAATCATTTTCATAACTGATAAGCGATTATGAGAAATAATTCAAAATTATTATAAGTAGTAATTTGGTAGATAGCATTATATATGCTGGTGTTTTCTACGGTGATAATCCTAAAATGATAATGTTGTGATGGAATAGTGATTGTATTTCATTGCATTACTAGAAGAAATATATATTCATAATTGACTATGATAAAGCGACGATCAGTGCTTTCAATGGGGCCAATATGAAATACATAAAACTATTAAAATGTATAAATAACTAGGTTTATTTAGATAACCAACTTATCGTAAGCTTATGAGTGCTAATCAGTTTTACAGTTACAGAAAATGTATTACTAATAATGCAGAAAAAAACCCTGCATGATCTAAAACTTCAATTAATAGATCATGAAAATTATACAAAAAAAAGGAAAATCTCAAAATCATACACATTACATACATAGCATTGCATACACAACATTGCATAAACACACTTCTGATTTCCTCAACCATTTTTAGAAAGGAAGTCCAGACTACAGATATCTTTTGCTTTATATTTTGCTATTTTTGTGATGTCTTCTTTGTCTCTGTTCACTTGTTTTGTTGTTTGTTTGTCTCCAATGTTTTACGTGTTTGTGCCAATTATCACGTTGATTGTGACGTCACCGCATCCGCACTGAAACCTCGCCTTGGGCCTTGCCTTCTCAGGGGCTTCAAAGAATCTTCAGCAAAAAACAAACCATTAAATGAAATAACAGGAAGAAGGAGAAGAAGAAGAAAAGGCGTGAAAATCGATAAGAAAAATAGCGAATAAAATGAATTAGTTAGATATTGAATGATAATGAATAAAAAAGAATCTGTCTTTGGAATCTGTCCTATTCTTGGCACGAATAGGATATTGAACCAATATTTACTATATACATAAGAACCTTGTGGGATAGTCTGAAGGAATAAGGGATAGTCTTGAAGGTCAGTTTTAAGGAGTAGTTTTAGGATTAGACTAAAGGGGTAATTTTAAAGGAACAGTTTAAAGGTAGTTTTAAGGAACAGTTTTAAGGATCAGTCTTAAGGAGAAATTTTGGGGCAAAGTCCTTGGGAATTTTTCTAGTAGTTAGTCATAATGGAAGGATTTATGGGACTCTCTCAAGTTGCATTTTTTAGGAATAGTCTTAAAGGAAATTCTAATAATCTTGAAATACTGTAAAAAGGGCCATAATTAAATGCTAGTTTTAACCCATTGCCGCCGGGGAAAATGAACAAAAAACGGGGAAAATGCTGTGCCTATTTTCTATACTTTTTTGTTAAATGTCTGCCTATAGATGGCTCTGTTAGCGCCGATTTGAGATGGCGGGAAAAAAACGTATTTTCCACTAGTGCCATGAATATCGTTGGTTTTATTTTTATCATAAACACTATAATTTTTATAATGTTTTTTAACATTAGTAACAGCAAAATAAGATAAAATATTTCGCAAATCAAAGAAAAGGGTGAACGGGCGAGATAGGCGGTACTCGTAACTGGCTCATTGGTGATTTAGTACAAGTGTAGCCATCTATGCCATGGCATGGCATGCCCGGCGGGAATGGGTTAAGGGAGTTTAGAAGTAGTTTCAAGGATATAGGCCTTTGGAATAGTGCTGCAGGAAAGTAGCTAATTCTTAATAATTTTAAAGGAATGGTTTAAGGGCCATTCTTATAGGCCGATTTTGAGGCAGGAGGTCCTAAGGTCTTAAGGGTATAGTTTAAAGAGAGAATATTAAGGGTCAGTCTTAAGTTACAAGCTTGATGGATAATTTTAAGAGATGACTTGGGGGGGGGGGGTAGTCATAAAGGATTCTCTTAAGTATTAAAAGTAGTTCGAAGGGACTGTTTATAAAGACAGGTTACTTTTATAATCTTTACGGATAGCTTTAAAGACAGCCCTAAGAGATAGCCTGAAGGGATAGCCTTAAGGAGGGATAGCTTTAAGGAAAGTCCAAAAGGGAAAGTTCATGGACAGTCCGAACAGATACCCTTAGGAGCTCTTAGGCTCTTCCCAAGCGCTGTTCTCAAGGGCGACTCACACCCTACCCCACGCAGCATGTTCCTCCCCGTCCCCGGCCACGACCACCTGGGACGCAAAGTGGTCATCATCCGCACGGCTTTGCACGACCCCAAGACGACCAGGATGGACGAGGTGTTCAAAGCGACGAACATGATCAACGACGTGATGATGGAGGAAGATGAACAGAGCTCCATCACCGGGTTTGTTCAGGTGCTCGACATGGAGAACACATCGGCGGCACATACCATGCAGATGACGCCCCCGCTCGTCAAGAAGGCCATGATCATCTGGCAGGTGCGGCTGTGACGTGGGCGTGACGACAGGGGTTTAGGGACTGGCGTTGAAGGGGCTTTCAAAGGTTTTATTAAAGTTTTTTTTTTTTTTTTTTTTTAAAGATAGGTGTTTTGGGAAAGGTCTGGAGAGAATTTTTAATACAGGTGTTTTAAAGGCAGGTGTTTTATGTAATTTCTTTGGGACAGTGTTTTGGAAAGATGTCTTTGCACAGGTATTTTTTTTACAGATGGTTTGCAGACAGATGGTTTAGGGAAGATTGCTTCTGGATAGTTGTGGAGACAATTTTTAATACAGGTGTTTTGGAAAAGAACTCTGGACAAATTTTTCGGGACAGGTGCGGAGAGAATGTTCATTACAGGTGTTTTGGGACAAGTAGGAAAGATGTCACTGGACAGGTGTTTGGGACAGGTGTTAAGCGATATTCCGATGCAGGTGTTTCAAACAGGTGTTTTCAGATAAATCCTTTGCTGTTTTTTTAAGCATCTCTCGATAGACGGTTTGATAATGAATTTCCTGCGAAAAGAGGAGGGGTTGCCAGGACCTGTTTAGAGAAAAGCGACGAAGAGGGCGAAGGTAGTATCAATGACGGCGATAACGGCCACAAAAGAGATAAGATTATTCTTCTCTTATCATAATTACACGTACATACACATGCATATGAACTTGCATACTTACATAAATGCATACATATATACATACATGCGTGCATACTTACATCAATTCTTTTCTACGTTCGTCTACATTTGCTTATTTCAATAGGCCTATTTATCGTATTCCAATAGGCCTTTTTATCGTATTCCAATAGGCCTATTTATCTTATTCTAATAGGCCTATTGATCAGATTTCAATAGTTCTATTTACCATAAGCCTTGTTCACCTTCTCGTCATTATACAGTTGCATATACACACCTCTGTTCATGACAAATACGCCCATATTAAAAGAAAAACAATATATGACAGTGAAAAAGACGATACCAAAGCTATAATTTCTCTAATGTTGATTTATTCTCTCAATTTAATGTTCATTTGGAAATGGAGTAACGAAAGCAACTCGTGTTCTTGGCCTTTTGTCCCTAAGAGGCATATATCTTGTCAATTAATAGTAGTTCTCGAGATAATGAGTGGTCCTTGTAGCTAACCGGTCGATGATAAAGAGAATATGTAATTATCTGATTAAGTCTGAAAAGATTGAAGTGAGATTCAGTTACTTTTGTTTCATATGTTTTGTATTTGTTATTTGCTTTCATTTTTTTTTTTTTTTTTTTAACTTTTGTGTTTATTTGGGTAATACTTTATGCATGTATATAGAAAACGGTAAGAATATAAGGTGATAATAAAATTTACTCGATATAAAAAGGTCAATAGGATGTGAAAAGAAAATGATTCTCATTCTCATTATCATCATCATCATCATCATTATCATTATTATCATCATCATCATTCTCCTCCTCCTTCTCATCGTCATCGTCATCCTCCTCCTCCTCCTCCTCATCCTCCTCCTCCTCCTCCTCCTCCTCATCATCATCATCATCTCTGTTCACTTGATTGTTGTTTGTTTGTCTCCAATGTTTTACGTGTTTGTGTCAGTTATTACGTTGATTGTGACGTCATCTCCTTCGTACTGAAACCTAGTCTTGGGTCTTGTCTTCTCTGTGGCTTCCAAGAATCTTCAGGAAAAACCAAACCATTGAGTGAAATAACAGGAAGAAGAAGAAGAAAAAGAATGTGAAAATCGATAAGAAAAAATACTGAATAAAATGAATTAGTTAAATACTGAATAATAATGAATAAAAAAAGTTTTAAGGATCAGTCTTAAGGGGTAGTTTTAGGGAAAAGTTTTAAGAGGTAGTTTTAAGTAATTTTGAGGAGAAATTTTGGGGCAAAGTCCTTGGGAATTTTTCTAGGAGTTTGTCACAATGGAAGGATTCATGGGACTCTCTCAAGTTGCATTTTTTAGGAATAATCTTAAAGGAAATTCTAATAATCTTGAAATACTGTAAAAAGGGCCATTATTAAATGCTAGTTTTAATGGAGTTTAGAAGTAGTTTCAAGGGTATAGGCCTTTGGAATAGTGCTGCAGGAAAGTAGCTAATTCTTAAGAGACAATCTTAAAGGAATAATTTAAGGGCCATTCTTATAGGCCGATTTTGAGGCAGGAGGTCCTAAGGTCCTAAGGGTATAGTCTAAAGAGAGAATATTGAGGGACAGTCCTAAGTTACAGTCTTGATGGATATTTTAAGAGACTGTTTTGTAAGGGATAGTCATAAAGGATAGTTGTAAGTATTGAAATTACTTCGAAGGGACTGTTTGCAAAGACAGGTTACTGTGATAATAGCTTTAAAGACAGCCCTAATAGATAGCCTGAAGGGATAGCCTTAAGGAGGGATAGCTTTAAGGGATAGTCCAAAAGGGAGAGTTCATGGCCAGTCCGAACAGATACCCTTAGGAGCTCGTCTTAAGGGCCTTTTCCCAGAGTCTGTTCCCAAGGGCTCTTCTCAAGGGCGACTCACACCCTACCCCACGCAGCATGTTCCTCCCCGTCCCCGGCCACGACCACCTGGGACGCAAAGTGGTCATCATCCGCACGGCTTTGCACGACCCCAAGACGACCACGATGGACGAGGTGTTCAAAGCGACGCATCTGATCAGCGACGTGATGGTGGAGGAAGATGAACAGAACTCCATCACCGGGATTGTTCAGCTGCTTGACATGGAGGGCGTGACAGCGGCACACGGCATGCAGATGACGCCCGCGCTCGTCAAGAAGGCCATGACCATCTGGCAGGTGCGGCTGTGATGTGGGCGTGACGACAGGGGTTTAGAGACAGGCGTAAAAGAGGTTTTTATTTTTATTCTTTTTTTTATTATTTTTTTTTTTTTTAAGATAGGTGTTTTGGGAAAGGTCTGAAGAGAATTTTTGATACAGGTGTTTTAAAGGCAGGTGTTTTAGACGTTTTACACGAATGATCGCGAATCTTTGCTCCACACTCGGATGGGCAAATCCTTTTCGAAACGCTTCAAGGCTTCATACAACCAGAACTTAAAAAATAAGTAAAAAAGGTACGAAAGGCACTTTTAAGACTTAAGAATCACAATATATTCTTCAAGGTCATCCCTGATTCATGGGCGTGTCGTTGGCTTTAGTGATAATGACAGTCATAGAGGATCAAGAAAACAATTGTCAGGGATTTATAAGTGTTTGCATTTCATATTTGAGAATGTGAAACCCTTTTCGACACATGATTCACATTTTGAAAGACTCGTGACCTATTTTCATCGAGGAAGCTTTGTGTACATGACCTTGCATTGCCTCAAGATGACAGTACTGATAAGATGTCTCATGCCACTTCATTTAAGATAGAAAGTCGTCTGCAAAATAGGATTTACTTAACTTTTGGAAGAACGAAGTCTGGCGATTTTCACCTCTCTGTTGCGTCCGTTATTATTATTATTATTATTATTATTATTATTATTTTTTAAGTTTCTATTTTTCTTTTTTTGTGCGGAATGAAACACCATTTCCATTTCATTACTACGGTGATGCTCTAAGTAACTGAGATCCAGTTTTATATTTTTGTATATTCTTTTCTACGTTCGTCTGCATTTGCTTATTTCAACAGGCCAATTGCTCTTATTCCAATAGTCCTATTTATTTTATTCCATTAGGCCTATTGATCAGATTTCAATAGTTCTATTTACCTTCATGACAAATACGCCCATATTTAAAGAAAAAAAATATGACAATGAAAAAGACGATACCATTATCATTATCATTATCATCATCCCCTTTATTATTATTATTATTATTATTATTATTATTATTATTATTATTATTATCATTGTTATCATTATTATTTTTGTTGTTATTGTTATTATTATTATTATTGTTATTATTATTTTTATTATTGTTATTATTATTGTTGTTATTATTATTGTTATTATTATTATTATTATCATTATTATTATTATTATTATTATTATTGTTATTATTATTATTATTATTATTATTATTATTATTATTATTATTATTATTATTATTATTATTGTTTTTTTTCTTTTTTCGCGAAACACAACCAAAAGATTGGATACTGGACTTTCGAGGAAAGGATCTTGCAATACGATACGTCATTATTGTCATTGACTAAGCTGTAAATGCATTTGCTAAGGCTGGAGCAATTTGGAATATAGTTCGTGTGTTTGTTACTGATTCGTCGCAGCTAAACTGTTGCTAAAACTTTGTGCAAACCTTGGCAGTACGAAAGAAACAAAACTTGATTTTGTAGCTTGTATGTGTGAGCGAGCTTTGAAATGTGTACTTCATTGGGGGTTCTAAGCATCACTAAATTTATCTTGTTTTTGATCGGGTATACCAATCCTTTTGTTTTGGTCAGATGGTCAGAAGCAATGGAGACGTCCTGCTGAAAACTGTGGTGTAGTTTGACAGGTGTGGCGTACTGTGACAGGTGCAATATGGTCTGAGGTCGTGGCTCTTCCTTACTAATTGACAGGTGTGGCATAGTGTGGCAAAATACAATATGGATAGAGGTAGAGATTGCTGTTGAAGTAAAGTTTCTGTCGTTGTCCCCAGGGTTCGTTAGTGCTTTGTCCCTCGTATCTGGTTTTAGTGTTTCTTTCAGCAGCGAGCGCAGACTCCATGATGGGTGCGATCTTGTGCAAAGCGTGTGCAAACCAGCAACACGTGAATCTGCAACACACATCAACTTAAAAAAGACCTTTATTTTGTACAACAGCGTGATGCTCCCTCTCCCTGGCTACGACCACTTGGGCAGGAAAGTCGTGTTCGGCCGCTGGGGTGTTTACGACCCCAATAAAGTGTCCATGGACGAGATAATGAAACTGGGAGCCATGATCTTTGACGTGCTGTTGGAGGAGGACGAACAGGCGAGCATCACGGGGATAGTTATGGCCGGGGATTGCACGGGCCTCACCATCTCCCACGCCGTCGCCTACACGCCTGCCATGGCCAAGAAGTCCATGGT